CTTGGCTGGTTTGCGACTTTGATGTGGATGACGCTATCAACCGAGTATTAGAGTCTTCTGTCTAGGACAATTAGTTGGAGGGAAAGGAACCGCTTTCCGCGCTCTCACCCCCACCCCATACTTTTCAACCGTCTATCTCATTGGCAATAACTACTCGGCCTATTGCTTTGACCTGCCTGGACTGTTTAAAGAACGAAGGGAAGAAGGAGAAGAGAAAGAAAAAAGTGGTCCTAGTGGTGGGTGGCGGTAGCGTGATAGCCTGCAGGAGACTTGGCCGCGCGGGTCAAGCATCCTCGCGACTGGAGAAGTTAAGCTGGCAGTTAGGACTTTTTGGTCTCGTGACGTGCATAAAGTAGGTTCTAAAAGGCGCGCGGCCTCTGTGTCCGTCGTTTGAGGATGATGGAGACGCCATCCTATTCCACTAGAGGCTAGGAAGGATGGGGATGGTGATGGCCCTCTATCTCTCTCTCTCTCTTCCTTTCTCTTCGTACATCTGCTTTGCTTCAAATTCCACGAGGACGTTATTGGTGACGTACAGACGCCCTCGAGTCAGCAAAGCGCACGAGTTACTTCCAGCTACCAAATATTAGCCTCTTCTGTACCAATGGGAATTCATGCCACCCGCCTCTACCGCCCCCATTCCGCTCGACGCATTTGTGACTACTCAGGTGAATGGGCCACCCTAAGCCCGAGAAAACCACCCATTGGCGGTTCTCTGAAGGATCACTGGACACACTTCGAGTTTCTTCCCCTAGTCCGTTTTGCCATTGGTTTTGGGACTTGCCCAGCACGATTCAAGGGAGGAGGGATGGGTGGCCCTGGCGAACAGGGTGCTTGGTTTTGCACTGGATGGTCCGGGGACGATATCTTGCATCCCCGTTCGAAGATTTTTCTTCTTCTTTTCTTTCTGCTATTATCGCCTTGTCATTGTTGCATTCTCTCCCTCCCAACCACCCACACCAACGGACCTGTCCTTCGAGGTGGGGATTCGGCTGGAAGATGGCACCATCTGGGCCGTCAAAAACACAGTGTCCAAGGAAAAAGAAGGAAAAAAACCTGTGGGCCAGACTGGCCTTGGTCGATGGTTTGACCACGCTGGACGCCTGTGAGATAGCGCAGTTCAGCCTTCAAGAGCATGTTTGTGTGCGAAAACGGAAGAGGAGGGGCGTATTCAGGTCTTTTTTGTTCTTTGATTTTTCCTTCTTTCTTTTTCCTTCTCGTGTCTGTCGCCTTTCCCACACCTCTCTCTGTTCGAACCCCACAATTGGTTGGCTGGACTTAAAGGTTGGAACTTGTCGTCCCCGACCTCCAGTTGTGATTGGAGCGTCGTACGAATAAAAGCGCAGCGAGAGAGCGAGACTAAGTCTCATTGTACTTGATGTACAAAGTTATGTAGAGGCCAGAATAATGAAACCTGCTCATCCTTTTCACAATTTATTCAACACGAGAATCTAAAATGAGGGCAAGGTGGTACCATTGCGCTATTCTTAGAATTGAAATACGGCGCACACTGTTCTGGGCTTCTCTGGCCACGACTTGCGTCCGCGGCGTACTCTATTAAATTCTCCTCCCGAGGCAGCGATCAAAGGTGGTCGGCGCCCGTTGGGTTTAATTTCCTGGACCCGGGTTTTCAGATGAGCCCTCTTATCGCCGCTGCGGATTTTGCCTTATCTAATATATCGCATGTGAAGAACATGGTCGGGCATGGAATGCATGAAAGAAGGAGGAAATGGGACCAGGAAATCCCAGCCGCTCGCGCGTTCATGCCTTGCCTTGGTGATCATCCCAATCCAAACGTGCCAAACTCGCGCGCAACGGATTCACTGCCGCGTTGCACATCTCGGGAGTTTTTCTTGGTTTTGACACGGTGGTCAAGGTGCTGTATACCTGGCTTGGTCCAGGAATGATCGCCCTCCTTGAAGCGAAATAAGCCCTTGTCAGGGCCACCAGCCCACCCTCTTTTCTTTCAATCGAGGCAAGGTTATCCTAGGTTTATTGTCATCCTATCCTTGTGAAGAAGAAGCCGCGCTCTAGAGCTCGGCAAGAGGTGATGGGCGGGCGAATCCAAGGCAGGAAGTGATACACTCCAATGCAAGAGGGGGTTCCCGACGATTTGCCTCCCACTTTGATCAACGGTCCATCTCTTGCCTCTCTTCTTCCCTCTGTCACGCTGACATTCAGTGTGACGAATGGGTGATACTGGCCAGCGGCAGCGTCTAGTGGCCCGGGCTGAAGAAGCCACTCAGGAGTGCTGGACCCCAACTTGCTCCGTACCTTACATGTTGGAAACAAAGTGTAGAATCCATAAAATCTTCGTCCTGTACTTCTCACTGGTCGACCCGGAGTGTGCGACGTGACGAATGGGCTGTGCTGGGGGCCAACCCTCCAAGTTCAGCAGCGCACACAACCTGTCGTCATTCGCTCGACCCGGCACCAACCGCCGAAAGCATCACATCGAAAGGGTGTGTTCGCCCCGTCTCGTTTACGAATCAAAGGCTAGCCAAAGACGAGCTTGTATTTGCGGGATCTCGTTTTCTTCCAAGATCTAGTGCTCTCCCAATCTGAGACGAAGTGGTTGGATAGCCGAACTTGAGATCTGCGTTGCTCCATATACACTTGCTCCATCAGATTTGTCGATACGGAGGGTTTTCTTCGTCACCTTCCTTCAAAGTCATAGAAGCGTCCATCGTCTCGCCGCTGGGGCACCGGAACGAAACGGGGCCAGTTAGCGTAGGCCGGAGGCCTTAGCTCATGCGCAATGGCTGCGCCGTGACTATCGTCCACTGATCTTTCTTTCTCGCCTTCTTTTTATTTTTATTTTATTTTTATCATTTGTTCTCTTTCCTGTACTGAGCCACGGGTGGAGCGTTCGTTGATCTCGCGTTGACCGATGCGGAGGTAAGCGAGCAGGTGCTGGTGCTGGTGCTGGTGTTGGTGCTGGTGCTGGTGCTGGCGCTGGCGCTGGTACCGCCCGCTCAGCCCGCGCGCGTACGTCCATGAGGACACTGCTGGATGGAGAGTGGAATGGGCTGCCCGCTGGGTAGATGTGGGCGAATGCGCATTGGGTCAGTGTGGCCAGAAGGGTTGTCCAATGACTATACGGCACCCAAGATAATAGTTTATTGTTGGTCAACGGATGTGCGCAAGGTGCAGGTCGGTGCGCGTTAGTGCCACAGTTGCACCTCCCATCTGAGGCCTCTTGCTTGTGGGACAGCTTCGTGCGCAACGTGTGTGGCATTTGGGATTCGACCGGCTCTCCCACTAATGCATCGCAGCGACGCCTGGAAGCCCAGCTGGTCTTGGGGGAAAAGGTGCTTCGCCCTCAACCGACCTTGCCCTTTCCGAACAGAGAGCGAAGGAAGGGGACCAGGACAAGACGAGAAGGTGCAGAGACGAGATGGCGGGTACCACAGGTGGTGGGCTGCATGTACTCCGTACGTGGACGTCGATTCATGTACCGTGTGCAGGTACGAGACTGCCCACACTCCGAAAAAGGCTTGATTGAGAAAAACGTCGTCGGGTCGGTGGCTGCGCCCTCCATCCCAATACGGATCGCCCGTCCAGAGAGTGCAGATAGGCCACGGTACAACTGGGCTGGAAGGAGACAAGAAGTATTCTGAACCTTTGCACGAACACCGCACCACCACCACATCTATGAGCCGATACGGGTACCGAGTACCTTCTAGTTTCGGAACTGAGGACGTCTACCCACAGTTTCCCAAGATAACCTCTGAGCAGCCAGGTTGTCCAGCAAAAGCCACCCTGGCCCATGATGGAGACACCCTGGCTCCGCCCTCCACGCCCACCTCCACACCCGAGCATCCCTTCCGTTGTACCCTCTAAAGTATACGACAAGGTTACCCACCACACGTACCCACAGGGCCCGGGCTACTCGTGCCAGGGGAGCGAGGATGGGGTGAGTCTGGTTTCTTCCTTTCGGAGGGGGGGGGGTGTCATGTTCGCCAAAGGTCGACCCTTCGCTCCACGCCCTTCCCGACCCTCGACACACCCCTCCCCCAACCAATGTACCCTGATCAGCTTTGCCAGAGGTGGAGGAGTGTGAGACCCGTGGGGAGGGAGTGTCCGTCAGTCGAGCAGGGAGAAAGAGCCTGGGCTCTGACTAGCTCGTTAAGAGTCTTGACTATAAGCAGTTGGCATTCCCAACCTCGAGGCCATCCTCCCTCCAGCTGCTTCAATACATATCTTGAAGGGTTCCCCCTCACCATCGTCACTCATTTTCCATTCCCTCTTGCAATATCGATCGGCAGTCTTTGTCGACTCTGGTGCACTTGTGGTCCTTTCTACTTCTTCATGATATCTCGGTTTCTTATTCTTCTGTGACCCGGCTCACCCATCTTGGAAACCTTCGAAACTTCTTCGAGCTTCCGGCCCTTCCTTTTATATATATACATATCACTGCACCCCACGGAACAATTCCCAGGAACCAGCAGTTAATCGTCATTTGCTCAACAACGACCGCAAAGGACCGGTGGTTTTATGTACAACAAACAAGAACATCATCACGAGAGCCACCCACTCAGTCAGACATCACTGCCCGCAGCGTCTGCCGTCCACTCCCTCTTCTAGGAAACCGACCACCACCATCTTTTGGCCAACCTGCCACGCTTGCCGCGAATACCCAGCAACTGTATTATACCATATACGCACACACACACCAGCCCCCATTATACTTTAATCTAGAACAGCTACGCGAAAGTACGCTACTGGTAGGTTTTGACCAACTTCAGAATACAGCTGGCGGGAACGGATTCGAGACAGATCGGAGGAGGGTGTGGCGGACATGGGAATGGGAATGTTGATGGCTAACGACCAAGCACCTGCTGTGTAGACTCGGACAAAATGGATCCCACCATGATGACTCCTCAGTCCATAGGACAAGCTCCCTACTTCTATCACGACGTCCGGAGGCAACACTTCCAACCCCATCCCGCGATGCAGCACATGATGTATCCCGCGGTTCCAGCTCTTCCTCGACACCAATGTACTCGAGGCCAAACTCTGCCTGCTCTCAACCCCAAGGTCCTACCTTGTACAGCAACGCGCCCGCCAACATGATGACGCCCATGGCTTCTCCCCAGCCTTTAACACAAAAGCCCACCATCATGGTTGAGACTGAGATCCGTGACGGCGATATGTACTATCCCGCCACGCCGCCCCTGTCCACCTCGGGCAGCGTCGTTGGAAGCCCAAACAGTGCCGATGTCCTCCAGACACCCATGAACCCCATGTTCTCCGGGCTCGATGGTGTCAACGGTTTGAAGGAGGCATTCCAGCCCACCAACGCCTTTGCCGTTGATTGGGCTCACGCAGCCTCGCCGCCTTTGTCTCCATGTGAGTGCAGACCGAAGCTCAGAATCGAGAATGAGGGCGTGAAACTGACTTTGACTTATTAGTGTACTTGGCCCAGGCGCAGTCTTCTGAGCACGCCCTGCTGAACTCAACCAACCCCGCCAACCTCGTCTCCTCCGCCTGCCCTTCGCTCTCCCCTTCCCCGTCCCCATATGCCAGGTCTGTCTCGTCTGAGCAGGATGTTGACTTCTGCGATCCCCGCAACCTGACCGTCACTGCGGCCCCCGCGCTCGCCGCGGATTTGACCACGTTCAAGAGTGAGGATGCTTCCGACGCTTCCCCGAGCGTAGCTTCCACCGAGTCCCAGACGTCCTTCGACTTCAGTGCCGGTCTCCCCGACAGCCTAGATAGCTTTGAGGTGCTTTCCGACCTCGAGGTCGACGCCGAATTCAATGGTCTCATCAATATCGAGCAGGTCGCGGCTGTTGGTGACTGCGGACGTCCTAGGGCAGCCACTGGCTCCAGCGTCGTCTCCTTTGGCCACGGCAGCTTCATTGGTGACGAGGAGTTGAGCTTCCAGGAGAGCGATACCTTTCCTTTCCCCACGCTGAACGCTTCTAATCTCGACGCGGATTGCGATTCCCACCGTAACAAGCGAGTCAAGAAGTGCGACTCCATGGGAGAATGCAAGGTCTCCTCTCCCATCTCCAGCCAGTGTTCCGAGACAGAGCAGGACTCTTTCTCGGCCAGGGCCCAGTCGGTTGAGAGCGGATGCAGCGATGGCCATGCCGTCGCGAACCCCGCGCCCGCGAACAGGAGGGGCCGCAAGCAGTCGTTGACTGAAGACCCCAGCAAGACGTTTGTCTGCGAATTGTGCAACCGCAGGTTCCGCCGACAGGAGCACCTCAAGAGGCACTACCGGTCCCTCCATACCCAAGACAAGCCTTTTGAATGCAACGAATGTGGCAAGAAGTTCTCCCGGAGCGATAACCTCGCTCAACACGCCCGCACCCATGGCAGCGGTGCCATTGTCATGGATCTCATCGAGGACCACGAAGCGCATCTCTACAACAGCGCCCTCATTGGGGAGAGCTTTAACCCAATGGGCAAAGTCCTCTTCCAGGTGGCTGAGCTTCCCGGTGGCGCCACCGAGATGTCTTCTGAAGACGACGATAGCAAGAGGAAGAGGAAGCGAACCGACTAAATGAAACGCATCTCGTCAACCTAAGAAACGCTTGACAATCTACGACAACAACATGCCTGTCATGACTTGATGACTTCTTGTTTTTATTTCATTTTATTTTTTTGCAATTAACGACCATGATAGGGATTGGTCAGATCAGTCGGGTTCGGTTTCTGGAAGAGGAGCGAGACCTTTTGATCATTCTCGAGCGTCGCCTAAGGGTGATTCGCTTCGAGGGTTCAAAAGGACTGGCCTTCCTCGAAAAAGAAGGGGTTCCATCTTGCCTCGTCTTTTTCTTTTTATACGCTTCACTTCTTGTACACCACACTCTTTTCACATTTTCACCTCTGCATAAAGACTTCATTTTTATTTACCAACCCTGATCGGTCAAGTCACGGCGACCTAGCGTTGTCGTGACTGGGCCAACCCTCACGGCAACCGAAAAGTTTGAAAGGAGGCCTAGGACACCGGAGCGAAAGAGGGGGTTATCACACTCGGATTGCAAGGCTGCGTGGCGCGAACGGGGAACGGGTTTGATTTTTTTTCTCTCTACATTATGTTCCAGACATAAAAAGAGAAACCGGCAAGGCAAGGCAAGGCGATTAGTTCGGTTTTTGATCTTCTCTTCATCTTTTTCCCATCAGAATTTCACTGAAACACTTCAGTTGATGAGCTTTTCTGTTGGGTATAAAGAAAGGCCTCTTCATCGGAGGACCTCGTTATTCCTGTCGAGGCGCCCTAGCAAGAGGGCGTTTCAGAACTTTCATGTACTTTTGTTAGCAGAGCGAGCAGCTGGTTTTCCTCCCATAATGCTACACAGATCAAAGTACCAGAAATCATTGTTGCCCTATTCTAACATGGTGATACGCTTCAAAATGTTGTTTGTGGCACATGGCAATACCTCAGGAGAGGAAGCCACCCACCCATTCGCGCTCCTCTTCCCCAATACATGTAATCTTGGACGGGCATGGAGGTGGACGTTGTTCGCTGGACCACTCGAGACACATTGCGGCGGGCGGCCCACGTTTGATGGAGCCGACGAATCCATCGTGAGGCGCCAGGCGCCAGGCGCCAGGCGTATTCAACTACAGCTATGGCCGGCGCAGAGCGGAAAAGAGATGGAAATGGAGGCCACGCGCATACACGCTAGCGATCAATTCAACGTCGATCTAATGTGGAATGGAGATGGGCGCAGTGGATGGATCTATCTACCATCATCTCGTCGTGTGGCTCCATGTAGTACATGGAGGTCAATCAGACGACGCGGGACCTGGACACGACAGGAGCCTCAAACAGCATCCGTTCACTATCCTCGTCGTCAAATCGAGAGGGTGAAAAGGGCGGAATAGTCATTCCATGCCTCAAAATTGCGTCCAACATTCCACTTGATGTACTGCATCACCCGGCATCCGCAGGCGTTGGGGATCAACACCCTCCTCCACCGCCGGATGCGTCTTCTCACCCCCACCGCACCAATGAAAAATAAATAAAAAGAAAGAAACCTTCAACTCGTCTCATGTGTGGGACGGACAAGACGACAAAGGGCCCTTTCGTTGCAGCTAGAAGCAAGGCAGGACCCGAGGCCTTGGTATATTGGCCAGCCACGACGGCATTCCGCGTGTCAGAGGCAGGCAGAGGCAGGCATAGGCAGGCAAAGGCTTCACTCCCTTCAGCCCCCGTCTCACAGCGTCCTACCATGGTCGCACCCCACCTCATTTAGCTGAGAAAAGTTTTTCTGTGTGTGCGTGTGCGTGTGTGTGTGCGTGTGCGTGTGTGTGTGCGTGTGTGTGCTGCATCACGCGGGGCGCCGAGAAACGTCGCGAAGAAAAAAGATAAAAAGAAAAGAAAGAGGGATGAGAAAAAGGAAGGATTGAGGCCATTCGGCAGTGTCGGTGGTGGCATGTACGGAGTGGCGTTGTGCCGAATGCGCCGCACTCTCTTTCCTTCCCTTCAATGTTCTGAAGGGGGCAACTTACTCGCACGACCCGCATCTCTGAACAAAGGAAAAAGAAAGAATAAGATTGACAAGAGGACACGCGAAACGCTTCGGTTTCCCGCACGCGACCGAGTAGAAGACAAGAGGTGAAGGAGAGACGCGCCAAAGAAAAAACGGCCCGGGCCGTCGAGGAAGAAGCAAGCAGACGGACACTACCAAGTACGAAGTATTAAGCGCAAAGGAACGAAAAGGTGGCAAGGACAGGACGTGGGCCTTTTCATTTTATTTTTTAATCTTTTCAGCCCCATCCTTTTTTTTCTGATTGTTTTCTTCTCTCTACGCTATTGTCAAAGGCCGAGGGGATTTCGTTGGTTTTTATCAATCTTGCTCATTCTCCTTCCCACCCCTCCCCGCTCTTTTGCCCTTTTGGCCCTGAAATCTCCACCTCGGTTCTGTCAAGATTGGTCGTGGGCCAACATATTGCGCCTACACGCAAACGTTTATCGTTGCGCTTGACCTGCCAAGGAAAAACGAAAGAAAGAAAAGAGGGGAGGAAAAAAAGAAAGAAGGAAAGGCCCAAAAGGCAGCAGGGAAGATAAGCGAGAGGACGCGGGGGTGAAGTCAGGCACACAGACGTGCGAGGCAATAAAGGCACGAAACAAAGTCAGATCAGATAGAGAGAGAGAGAGAGAGAGAGAGAGGCGCAGCGACTTGACTCCACACTGGGAGGAGCTGAATCATGCCTGAGGGCCAGCTCCATGTCATCGCCCTGATATCGGGCGGGAAGGACAGTTTCTATTCACTGCTCCACTGCCTACGGAATGGTCATCGTGTGGCCGCCCTGGCGAACCTGTACCCGCCTCATGTCGTTTCCGGAGGAGAGCGGGCGGTGGAAGGGGCCGCTCTGGAAGGGCCAAAGGAAGAGCGGGAGGCGAGCGCCGCAGCTACAAAGGTTGACATGATTGAGCCCCATGCTGCGCTCGGCGGCGGGAAAGCGCCCCGTCGCAAACGGTTAGCGACGGCGGTGCGGAAGAGGCTGATCTCAATAGTTTCATGTACCAGACCGTGGGCCACCAAATCATCCCGCTGTACGCGCAGGCAACGGGCCTCCCTCTACCGGCGCGCCATCACGGGCGGGGCCGCGCAGAGCGTGAGGGACTACGACGGCCTCGGCGCCGATGGGGATAGGCGGGAAGAGACCGAGTCCATGACGGAGCTGCTCAGGGCCGTGATGAAGAGGCACCCCGAAGCCAACGCCGTCTGCGCCGGAGCTATTCTATCCACCTACCAACGGACCCGGGTCGAGTCCGTCGCCGTCCGCCTCGGACTCGTCCCCCTTGCTTACCTTTGGAAGTATCCCTCTCTTCCGCCGCCGCTCACCGGGTTCTCGGGAGGAGTCGCTCGGACGAGGCCGACGACGCACAGCTCCTGAGCGACATGGCGGACGCCGGGCTCGACGCGCGCATCATCAAGGTGGCTAGCGCGGGGCTCGATGAAGAGTTTCTATGGACCACGGTCAGCAGCCGGCAAGGGATCGCGAGGGCGCGAAAGGCCCTCAGGCACTACGGCGGGGGTGGTCAAGGGGCTATCCTGGGCGAGGGCGGCGAGTTCGAGACAATCGTTGTCGACGGGCCGGCTGCCCTGTTCAAGGGAGGCTTGTCGTCGGCGAGGATGGGAGGAAGGTGGTGAGGGAAGGCGGGGGCTGCTCGTGGCTTCGCTTTACGCAGGCTCGGGTCGAGGCAAAGTCCGCAGTGGGCGCCGAGGAGGAGAAGGAGCCGTCTTTGGAGGCTACACCGCGCGTGTTGGGAGTTCTTGATGCCAAGTTCGCGGACATTTTGGACTCCATCGCGCAACTCGACAAGGACAGCCCGTGGCCCAGGGAGATGGACTGTGGGGGCAGGCACTTGCGACAACGGCCGACCCGGCGGTCCTTGGGAATGAATGGGATGAGAAGATAAGGCGAGGAGAAGAAGAAGAAGAAGAAGAGCACTGGGGATGCTTTGCGGACCCCGCTAGCTACAGCTCTTCCGTTGGAGACGAAACCCGCTCCGTCATGGACAAGATTCGCAACCGCCTTGGCGAGCTCTCCGCCCAATGCGTCACAAACACCCTCGTGGTACTACGGCACATGTCGGATTTTGCACAAGTCAACAAGGTCTACGGAGAGCTCTTTACTTTTCCCAACCCCCGGCGAGGGTGACCATTGCCTGCGGGGCTCTCCTCCCAGACAAATGCCGGGTCGGCGTTTACGTCACGTTTCGACCCGCGCTCCTACCGCGAGACCGCAACGGGCTACACGTCCAGTCGCGGTCCTACTGGGCACCCGCGAATATTGGACCCTACAGTCAGGCCATCGACGTCCCGGTTTCCTCTTCTTCCGGCGCTGCCGCCGATGCTATCAGCGGCCAGCCAGCGGCCGCCCCGAATCCCAGCCCGGTGCGAATCGTGGCCATCGCAGGACAGATCCCGCTCATGCCGGCGACGATGGAGCTCCCCGAACCGCTCGAGTCCTCGCTAGATTTGCAAATCGTCCTCGCACTCCAGCATCTGTGGAGGATCGGGGTAGAGATGAAGGTCCAGCTATGGGCGGGCGCGGTCGCCTACTTCCCGCGCGCCGGCTCTCCCGAAGAGATGGTGCACAAGGCAAAGCGAGCCGCGCTTGCCTGGCAGGGAGCGCACGTAGGCGTCAGGGGCCAGGGTGGGGATGAGGACGACGAAGACGAAGACGACGAGAACGGGCCGGATCTCTGGGATCTAAAGTACAACTCGGAATACATGAATTATGGAGAGGCCCGGGCCGGACCGAAACCCCTACCCGATTGGGAGGCGTTTCGTAAACAGCCAAACGGCGAGGCCGCCCAGCGAGTCCCACCCTTTTTCGCCGTCGAAGTGGAAGAGCTCCCGCGACAGGCGGGCATCGAGTGGCACGTCCACGCCGCTCTCTCCTACGTGGAAAGCGGGGCAGCGCACGTCGAAGAGCGCTCTGGGGTCGCCCGCTCCGCCGCTCTTGGGGACGCCGACGTCTCCTGGCGCGCATCCCACACGCTCGCCGAAGCGGGAGGCGGGCGGGTCTTTGTGCACACGACCGTGGCAATCCACCAGGGCGGGCAGACGCTTTCGGCAGCGAGGATTCACGACGTCATCGGCGAGGCGGCGGCGGCGTCGTCGTCGTCGTCCCTGTCCCTGGCCAGTGTCGCGGTTGGAGGGGTCATGACGTGCTCGGTGGTGCAGGCCGGCATCAAGGCGGATGCCATATCTTATCTATGGCGCCATCGGGGCGGCGCATGTCGACGGCAGCGCCGAGGGCTGCGACGACGCACGCGTTCCGCCAGAGCAGCCATTTGTGCCCTGTCGGTCGATACGCGACGGGGAGGGAACCCAATCGCGGTCGTTGCCTTGTTCCGAGATGTTTACTTTCGCTCGTAGCAAATAAAAGAATTTTTGAAGCGATGGATGCATCCCATCACTACATGTGCGCACTTTGCCATTTTTCTCCGAGCAGACCCATGCTGGGAAGGGTACGGTACATTCGGCACACCGAGCCCAGTGCAGGCGGCAACTCCGTGGGAATACACTGCTGCCGTCAATCCATTGTCATGAATTACCCTCCCAAAAAGATGGAGAAAAAGAAAGACAAAAAGGGTATCGCTGGAGGTGGGCAAATGCAGATGAGAACCAGAACGTCTTTTTTTCTTTTCTTTTGGGGTCTCTTTTCCCTCCTTTACAGCTGGTCTCTGCCGAGGTACAGAAGGGCGTGGGTTGTCCGTCTGCCAAGCAGAAATTGCTCGTCAACTTTCAGGGTAAAAGCGGGAGAGCTTGAATACAAGGAGAATCTGACCTTTGGATCCCGCGCCATCACCTCTCTCCACCGTTCTCCCATACCCGGGGTTCTGAAAGGAGCCGGGCCGAAGAGACGGGCCGTGGGGGTGCTCAAAATCTCGGGCAAGGAGAAAAGTACACAGTTATGAAGGTGCCAAAAGTCGCCCGTAGTAAAGAACATTGAAGAGAAGGAAGTATCTGTCCTCATGGCCTTTGCTGACCCCAAGTCGAGGTGCTCGATCCGAAGCACTTGCATCACCACGAACCGCGACCCGTTGGTTTCAAACATTCGGCTATTCACACTACTACCTCTTCCTCTCTCCCTCTTCCCCGTTTTGGCTCTTCGTTCTTTTTCTTTTCTTATTCTTCTTTTTCCCCTCCTTTCTAACCACCGAAGTTATGAGACAGTGGGAGCTCTGCTCCACGCGCGTACCATGCATGGGGGAGGAATCATGGCCAGCGGGCATATCCCCATCTCCACGGGATACACGCAATACACGGAGAAAAAGAAGTACATGTAGGGTCCAATATCAATAATTGTTGCCGAACTACGTCTCTTCTATGTGCACCGGTCAAATCAAAGATTCCGCCCGCGTATTTAGGGGTTGAAATTTGAAGTGCCGCCTACAGCCTTTTGTGAGGCGGCTTTTCCTCGGAAGCCTTTCCCCCGTTCCGTCAAGTAAACATAGGCGGCGGGTGGGCAATAAATTGCCTGCATGCATCAAATGTTGTATCAACTGATGGACGCCCGTTGCAATGGCTGTCACTATTAAGCATCCACCCAAGCGAAGCAATACGTGCCAATGGATGAATTGAAAATAGCACAAGGGAAACGTATTGGGGCACCGAGTAGCAGGGAGGAGGGCCGCCAGTTGATCCTACAAGGCGCATGTCCCGAAGATGGTGTGCTCGCGAGGGTTCACTAATCGTAAAATCCCCATGTGCCAGCCTCCACTTGTGTCAAAAGCCGATTCCTGCTGCGAGACATGCATCGAGCAAGAAACATGGGTGAAAGTGGAATAGGAAGCCCAAAAGCGAGAGAGGAAAAAAAGAAAAGAAACAAGATGATCGACAGCATCTTCCACCAGCCCAACGTGAACTTGTAGAACGAAGGAAATTAGAAGTAGCAAACGGGTCGACCGGCGCGAGGCGATAGCGGAGATTGGGTAAGACTCACGCTTGATCTGTCCCCACGCCCCTCTGTTGGTTTCGCCTTCCCTTTCTCCGTTCATCGAGGGTATATTATGTTGGTAGGAGAAAACATTGAACCCCCATATCCTGGGCGAATAAACCCATCGAATGAATCCTCAGAGTCGTCCCTTCCTTCCTGCCCCCTTGCCCTTCCCGCACCAGGGTCTCGCAGGGCCAACTAAGAAGGGAAAGGGCGGATGCACGAACGTACTTCCGAATGGTTTCTCGTGCACCCTGCGCATATGCGGCTTAGAACCAGGTGATCACGATGCCTCCTCAAGCCCACTTTTATTTCTATTTTTCCCTGGCCAGTCCGTCTGTTTTCGATTTCTGTCCTTTGCCCGTCCTCCTTTACCCTCTTTATTCAACATCTGTATTGTTTCCAGGTTTTCAAAGCTAAAAGAGATGGAGAAGAAGGGGGAAGGCTTTGTGCTTAAGAAGGACCTGGTGACTGTAGAATCGGGCCCTTCCTAGACCACCTGCCTCGAACACTCAAGAGATTGATTGAGCATTCGCCCTTCGCCGTGGTCCTTCGTAAATCCGATCAAGGAACTCTCATGTCACGAGATTCTCTCGGCGGGAGGGCTTAGGGATATCCTTTGTTCGCATCCACTACCTCGATGGAACCAATATCCCTGGCCCTTCCCACCAACACGAGAATGCAGCTTGGATGCTCAACCCATGCATACAGTTTCAAGAGAGCACGAAGACTACACCAAATGATAGTTAAGAACCCGGCCCCGAAGACGGGAAAATGAACAGAAGAACGAGGGGGAAAGAAAAGGCTCCCGAGGCCCAAACCCTTGAAGAGATCGGGGAGGGTCATGAGCTCTTCAAGTTTCGCTAGTCGGCGGGTAAGCATACCCATGTCACATCGTTAAACCAGCGGGGCATATCAGTCCGCATGCACCCTCCATACAGCAACCATTGTTTGTACAGCAATAATTCGTGAATGCCATGGATCTAATGGACCTATTACAACTGTGCCGGGGTATTCGTTGATCCATTTTGGTCTATATCTTATCACATCCGAAAAACCCCCTGCAGCATTGGACGAGTGTTGGGGCCAATTCTCAGTGTTGATAAAATGGAACAAGAGAAAAAAACCCTGCAACCGGGCCGGGCAACGTATATGTTCCCTGACGTTGGTGGGGGCATCCGCGGACGCTCGTAAAGATGGTGGTGGGAGGCTTGGGAGGCAAGAGTGGTGACGGATAGTGGGGAGACTTCATTGACCCGTGAATCGCGGATGGAGATACGGATCAATGGTTGGGGACGGCTCCCCGAGGGATGATGTTGTCCTGCATGTAGTACATGTAAAGGCAACACGAGTGCGCCGATCCCTTGATCAAGTCGAGGATGGGTCGGATAAGTGTTTACGTTGGCAAAGGAGTGGCATCGCCTCTTGAGTCGAAATCGTCCAATCTTGGTCAATGATGAGCTCGAATGGCGAAATGCAGTTCGTCAGGCCTTTGTGACACATGAACCACCCGTCCTTGGTCCTGACTGGCAGACGTCAAGTTTTCGGTTTTTTATCTTTGCTGCTGGTAATTAACACTTGGGGCGCACACCCACTAGCACGCGTCATCGAGGCTATCTTCACGCAAGACGCCAATCGACGCTAGCTTCCAGCCGTATCATGCTTCATTGTTCTTTCCATGGATCCATTGGCAGGACTCTATTAGAGCACCAGTGCACCCGTGCATGTCGGGGTACACGACAGTGTACGAGGTACTTCCGCTGGCCTCTGGCTCGAGAGGCTCCAGGGTGCAAGTCCCACGCTTTTTTGTCCTTTTCTCTTTTTCTGCCTGTAATTGAAGTAATATGGTACGGGAGCTTATAGCGCCAGGAATGGTTCATAGTAAAGTCCCATTGAATCCATCATCCATCCTTCTGATCGCCTCAGCCCGACTTCTCACCCATCACGTCACCTCTTTGCTCGAAACCCACTCGCCTCTTTTCGCCGGAAAAGGAAGACAAAAGCCAACAGGGGCATCCAGCATCCTCCGTCTCCTGCGTCTTCTACGTCTTCTGCGTCTGGGCCCTAGCTCTCCGAAGCTTGTCCCCTTCGCTCCGCTCACGAGCGTCCGGCTGGTGGGCGACGTCGATTGACGCTTGGAGACGCATTAGCGAGTTGGTCCGCAATAGGAGCGGAACGCTGGTCCATCAAATCCGATCCACAATCCGCAGGCGCTACCCCAAAGGCTACGGCAGACAGCTCGACCATCGTCGACCTGAAAATTCTCGAGCCGTCAGACATCCTGTGCGGCCTCGAGCCATCGAGCCACCAGCAACGCACCATCCCACACGCCCCCTATCCCTCAAGACCCGCTTCTAACCCCAATCTCTCTTCCAACCGACTCCTTCCTGTGCTCGCTCTCTCCATCTTTGCAAGATAGATCAATCCATGTCTCCCGATTCAGAGTCTCCTTCTTCTCCATCGCGGCCTCCCTCTGGCGGTTCCTGGGCGTCTGGCCTTGACCCCCGCCGCACACGAACCGCCCCAGCACGCACCAGTCCCAGCAACACCAGTCCCAGACAGTCTACCCGTGAGCGGATAGACGAGATTCTCGAGGTATCCCCGCCACTGCCATCCAACTCCGATGCACCCTCCCCTGCCCCATCCAGAACTAAATTGCACTCTCTCCACACCCAGGTTACCTTGAATTTTTAACACCCCTCCCTATCTGTTCCTCAGCCAAGCATCTTCATCAATTCAGAGGAGAAAAAAGGCGAAGCAGGAAAAAAAAAAAAAGAGAGAAGATGAGTGAAAGCGGGAAGAGCACACATACATCGGTCTTCCCTAGCTAGCCTTGTGTCATGCCATTGAACCTTGGCGGATTTTTGTTTTTTAAGACCCCCCTGCACCCACTTGACTTCTTCTCGAGGCCTTGATCGACCCCTGCTGCCCTCTGGCTTGAACAATAGTCTTTACTTCCTTTTTCCTCATCTTCAATTTTTTTCCTTATTTCCACTTCATTTTCCCCTCTCGCTCCTCACCTCGGTGCCCATGAGCCCCTTCCTTTGGCCTGCTGCTTCAAGTCGACTTTGAAAGCAGCGTGTTTCTGCCTCGAGTTGTAAAACATACAAAGGCTGACCTGTGTTCCTTCACACCCCCGTTCGACCAATCCAGGGCGCCCTCTTTCGAGCACAACAGGCGGACGCCATCGCGACCAGCTCCAACCCCCACCACCCCATGCCTAGACCGCAGAACGAGACACCACCCCTGTTCGACCGCAGTCGCAGATCCCTGGCTGGCGTCAATCATGACCATGACGAAAGCAGCGCCGACGAGACCACCGGCATCTTCTCTCGCGCCGACAACTTGGACTACCAGTCGACCGTAGCCGCCGGACACCCGAGGAGGAGATCCGCCGGCCGCGCGAGCTCCGAATCTCGACGGCAAAACGGGCATAGCTCCCTCGATGGGGAGGGGGAGGACGATGTCCGCGAAGAAAATCACAAGCACGGCGGCGAACCGTGGTACAAGGCTGCCATTGAGCCGTTCAAATCACTAGAGCTGGAAAATACGGGAAGCGTGGCTAGAGACCACCTCGCCATAGGTAAAAAGAGCAACCCCTCTCTCCCCCGCCGCCACCTCTCTAAGACGCCCCCGCTTTGCACGCCGAGGCATGTGTGTGTGTGTGTGTGTGTGTGTGTGTTGCCTTCAATCGAGCCCTTGGCGGGCATGCTAATCCTCGCGCTGCCTTCTAGAGCGGACCTTCCTTGCCTGGTTACGAACCTCGCTCGCCTTTGCTTCGATTGGCATCGCCGTCACGCAACTCTTTCGCCTCAATACGTCCCTCGCGGAAGGTAGTGGAAACTCCGAACTACCCTTGCGACAGCTTGGCAAACCCCTCGGAGCCACCTTCCTTGGTATAAGTATCGTCATACTTTTCCTCGGCTACCACCGCTATTCAGAGAGCCAGAGATGGGTCATTGACGGAAAGTTTCCCGCTAGCCGTGGAACGATCATTCTCGTCACATTCTTGGCATTTTCTCTCGCCGTCGCCTCCTTGGTCGTGGTTGTCATTGTCCATCCCAAGGAGAGGGAGTTGTAGTAACAGCAACACCCTGATGGCCATGTATCCAGCTTCACGTGTTGGGTGTGCTAATGAGCAGGGTGGCCGTGGTCCTTGCCTCGATTGGCGTCATCTCTCCGCGATGGGCTTTATCAACTTGGAAATCATCTGATTGTATCCTCTTGTTCGTGTTTCGGCGTTTACGCTCTGGGTTCATTCTGCGGCCCTTTTCTCCCAATTCCCCCATGTTTTACATCATGTTTGAAGATGCACAGAACATATATATCCCTTTGTGTCTAATGGATGTTTTCGGCGCGCCAAGAAGGTCTTGAAATGATTTTGTTTTGTTCCCCATCAAGACGGAGGACTAGATTTGGTCAAGCACAAGGAGATACATGATGTTCTCGAGCTCACCATGAGCCCGTATGGCTAGCGGATTCCCCTTTTGGTGTCATTTTCTACAGGTCTTTTGCGTTCTTGTCAAGAGATCATGAGAGATGGTCGGGGTATAAAGCGACGATTGGTATCACAGGCCAAATAACAATTAGGATATGCCCGCAGTATGCAAGGCTGCAATACTTGAGGGAAAGGAGTAGATGACCATAATATGAAAGTTCCCCCTGATAATCCAGCTCTTTGGGTCCTCCTTCAAAAGAAGAGATTAATACTATGAATCTTGCTATCTGTTGTCGCCGCGATAGTTCGTAATTATATGTGTATTGATGTAGGTGACGTTGTGTGGTGTTTGGAGGCTCATGGCACACACACACTCACAAATGGATCAAACCGTGTTTTGTTGCACACGCATGCACACACATAAAGCACCAACCACTCCTAGCGCCTCGATCGAATCACACACATCAGAGCTCACCATCTGAATTCCATCATCAAATCAAAACCGTCCTGGCTCAACGAATTTGGATCCATGCGTCGCACAGAAATCACACACATAGCTTAATCCAACCTCCAACTCCGGAACGCCCCCAATTCTATTCAAGGATAGGCAGGCCCCGCGGTGCCTTCTACCCCTCCCACCCAAGCTGCGGGGGATAACGAGCACGGTGGACGGAATCAAAGTCAGCTCGGCCGGGGTTCAGGATTTCGTTTCGGCCCAAGACAACGAGTTGTTTTGCGCCGGCACCTCCAGGCCCGTCCTCCGCCCCGAAAGCTTTTGAGTATCTCCGGAAAATATCACTCCAAGACAAGGGTCAAGAAAGGTAAAAGAAAAGAAGAGAGGAGACCTTTTCTTTGTCCAACAGAGAGCAAACCCGGGATATCGCCAAGGCCGGCGGTTTTTACTCTCCCCGACCCTTCATTATCAACCCCGCGCTCACGGAGAGGGAAAAGGGTTTGACAAAACAATAAGAGTAAACTTTTCCAAAAGAAGAAATCAAAAGGAAAATAAAAATGGCACCCAAAAACTTCAACATCGACATTCCCACCTTTGCCCAGACGCAGCTCACCCTGCTCGCGGCCGAGCAGGAGACGGAGATTGCGGAGACGACCTCGCTCATTGCGTCCCACACCCCGGCCGCGCTCCAGCGGGCGGGGTTGCGCTGACGAACCTCGAGGTTGTATCGCAGCGTACGGGAATGGGGGCCGGACCGTATTCGAGCTGGGACCGGACGTGGCCACGTCTTCCTCGTCGGCGTCGACCGCCGGCGTCGGGGAGCTGCCGGAGCACGGCCTCCGGACGGGGATATCGTGCTGGTGGCGGGACAGCCGGCGGGCAGCGCCAAGAAGAGGGAGGTGCGGGAGCTAGAGAAGAATGGGGTGCGGGGCGTGGTGGTCAAGGTCGGGAAGAGTTCGGTGCAGGTTGCCGTCGACTCGGAAGGGCAGGAGGAGGCGGGGCTGAGCGGACGGGTGTGGATCGTGAAGTTGGCGGATGATGTGACGTATGCGAGGTAAGTTGGGTATTTGCTCCGCGAAGATACGATGAAGGGGGCGGCAAGAGACACGTCGAGGCCAGATGGGGCAAAAGGTGGCTGTCTGTGAGGCTTGCCACAGGATCTGACTGGACAAGCTAACTCCTTGATAGGATCGTTCTCGCCATGACGAAGCTCCAGAAGATGGACGAGTCTCAGTACACCAGCTTCATGCGAGTCCTCTTTGGGCTATCAAGCCCGAGTCCCCTACCCAGTGACGTCGAGTCAGACCCTACCGTTGGCAAGATCGAGTGGTTTGACCCCACACTAAACGATTCCCAAAAGGATGCCATCAGGTTCGCGCTCGCCTCTCGCGAGATTGCCCTCATCCACGGCCCTCCAGGCGTAAGTTTCTATGTCCCACCATCCTATCTTCCCCATCCATTATTTAGGCCTCGCGGTCTTACCTAGCAGGTACAAGAACCAGTATAACAAGAACCAATATAACTAAGCACTAACTTTCATATCCACGGGACCCCGTTCGCCGCCCTAGACTGGAAAAACACATACGTTGATCGAGCTCATCCTCCAACTCGTCAAACGCAAGCAGCGCATCCTCGTATGCGGCCCATCCAACATCTCCGTCGACAACATTGTCGAACGCCTAGCCCCGCGCAAAGTTCCCATCCTCCGCCTCGGCCACCCGGCCCGGCTCCTGCCGTCCGTGGTCAACCACTCCTCGACATGCTCACCCGCACCTCGGACGCCGGCGCCATCGTCAGCGACGTCCGCGCCGAGATGGACGCCAAGCGGGCGTCTATCCGCAAGACCAAGAGCGGTCGCGAGAGGCGCCAAATCTACGCCGATCTCAAGGACTTGAGGAAGGAGTATCGCGTGCGCGAGAAAAAGTGCGTGACGGACCTGGTCAAGGGGAGCGCCGTCGTGCTGGCCACCTTGCACGGCGCCGGCGGGTTTCAGCTGCGCGACGAGAGGTTCGACGTTGTCATCATCGACGAGGCCAGCCAAGCCCTCGAGTCGCAGTGCTGGGTGCCGCTGCTCTCCGCCAAGAAGGCCGTCTGCGCTGGTGACCACCTCCAGCTGCCCCCGACCATCAAGTCGCTCAACAGCAAGGTGAAGAAGAAGAAGAAGGAAGCCACCGAGGCTGATGAAGAGGCCATTGCTACGGGAATTACCCTCGAGACGACGCTGTTCGATCGTCTCCTCGCGCTGCACGGGACGAGTATCAAGCGCATGCTCACGACGCAGTACAGGATGAATGAGAAAATCATGAGGTTTCCCTCGGACGAGCTCTACGAGTCTCAGCTGGTCGCGGCAAGCGAAGTCAAGGACAAACTTTTGACAGACATGAAGTACGATGTCGAGGAAAACGAAAACACAACGGAGCCTGTCATCTTTATCGATACCCAGGGCGGGGACTTTCCCGAGCGGACCGAGGACGAGGACGAAGCCCTCAAGAAGGGCAAGCTGGGCAGTCTCCATACCGAGAGCAGGAGCAACGAAATGGAGGCGCTCCTCGTGAGGCAACACGTACGAGAGCTCGTCGACTCTGGTGTCCTACCAGAGGACATAGCCGTTGTGACTCCGTACAACGCCCAGGTATGATACTCCCTTCTCTTTGCGTCTTTCTCTTTCTCTCTCTCTCTCTCTTCCTTTTCTCTTTCCCCTTTCCGTTCTTGAGGGCTCCAATCGCCATTCCATCTTCCGTCTGCTAGTCAAGATGAGACACTCAAGCTCCCCTTCCTCTATCACTTCTCAGTGTCTCCTACAAGACAGAATGCCCCTTTTCTCCCTTTCTAGTATCAATTAGGATACGGTCTGACGCTGCCCTCTCTCCTTTCTTCCCCCTTGTCCATCACAGATCGGCCTCCTTGCTCCACTGAAGGAGCGCTTCCCCGGTATTGAGCTAGGAAGCGTCGACGGATTTCAGGGTCGCGAGAAATCAGCGGTAATCCTTAGCTTGGTGCGGAGCAACTCCCAAGGCGAGGTTGGATTCCTCGCCGAAAGAGGCGACTCAATGGTAGGTGACATGTCAATCTCGAGGACACGGACAGGACCCCTCGATGATCCTGTGCCTTTTTCTTCTCTCTCCCTCTCTCGCCTTTCTCCTTTCCCCCGTCTTGCCCCGAAAGAGACTCATCACCTGTCTTGTTTGCTAAAAAATGCCCCGTCCCTGGGCGCGCGGAACAGTTGCCATGACCAGACCCAAACACTCCTTGACCGTAATCGGAGACTCGGAGACCATCAAGAAGTAAGGCATCCATCCACCCCCTCTTGTCTTTGTTTTCGCACCTCCAGTCGTCGTCCTGCCCTCTCGCTAGCATGTCCTCACCCCCTCAGTCACCCACTGTGACCCTCCTCTTACACCTTGCACATGATCCTCTCTACCGTTGCATTGGCGCCTCCACAAACAATTGCGACGACACCGGCTTGAATCCGACAATGTTTCGTCATCGCAAGCATTTTGTTTTAGCTCCATTCTGAAGCTGTCAAGAGCAAAACCCTGTATTAACTGTTACACCCTCTCCCTTTTCTGTCTTCTTTTGTCGTACATCTCTTCCTCCGTTACCCTTCCCTTCTGTTTTCCAATGACCAATGCGCAAAAACCACCCAGCGCATCCCTATCCTCTCCCCGCTACACGGCACCTCAGGGAAGGGCTGGCCCAATTCTCGACCCTCGCTTCCGAGTGGCGTCATGGGCGAGAGGACAAGAGGGTAAGGGAAGAGGCGGGGGCACGGATGCTGGCCTGTGTGGCCGGTATCGATGCTACCATCCACAACCCTACCTCCCGGCCCTGAAAGACAGGATTCATGGTCTTGGACCCTGCGCCTTTCCCGCTTTCGGTTCCTGATTTTTCTAACTCTCCATAATATCATGTGTGATAATAGGGGAAGCGATTTTCTCAAGAAATGGATGGCCTTCCTAGAGGATAACGCCGACCTACGCTACCCAGATGTCTCCATCTTGCCGCGGGACGTCTGAGGCACGAGTTCGTTTGAGCGTCCTACACAAGTTGCGGCCAGCGGCTGAACTTTGCAACTGAAACTGCAAAAGGGGGTCTTGCAACAGGACAAGGAAAAAAAGAAAAAAGTGGGAAGAGAGTACGAGATAGCCCACCGAAAGCGGCAAACAGCACGAATAGAAGAGAGCAAAATTGGGCCCATGAGACGAGTCTGGCCGGAGGAGTCCGCAAGCCGCCTCTCTCAAGCGCTGCCTTTGTAGATCTGCCTGCTCATCCGCTCTTGTCGTCAATGCCCTCGTGCCGGTGCCTGAAATGAGAGGAACCATCTCAAATACAGACAAATTTCGGCTTAAAACCGAACTTTATGCCATGTTCAGTGTGCAACCAAAAAGCCGTACCAGGTTTCTACCCTCCTTCCCCCTGGAGGTTCTTGGCTGTTCGCTCCCCACCTCTTGTCGAGACAATCTGGTCCATAATCCCCCGCACTCTGTTGTGTTGCGCCGGGTAATTTTACAGAGTGATGGAGACAGAGAGATCGGCTCATGTGGTTGGTAACGAGCCATCAATATGATTCCTCATCTCTTCCAAGTCTAGCGCGTTTCGAGGCGTTATCCCTCCCTCCTTTTTTCTTTTTCTCGCTTGCGCCAGAGAGAAGGAGAAGAAAACAAAAACGCTCCACTACTTGTAATACTTCATACTTGTAATGGGTGAAGGGGATGGATACCGCATTGAAAGGGAAAATCCGCCGGATCGATGCATGGGTCGCGGATTGTAGCCTCCCCGTAATACTTCGTACGCTCCTTTGATATTAGAACAGGTTCGGTGAGGGCTAGGCCTAAAATTCCAGGGCAGACCCTGGGCAGAATGTCGTTATCCCTTGGCGCTAGAGTGAATGATGTAAACCGCTCAGGTCCCAAATGTGATCAGACGAATGTTAAACCCGGGCGTGCACCTCGCAAGTTTCAGGTGCCATGCCCGATGCGACGAAAGCCGTACCTGGCAAAGCTGGGTGGCTGGGACATCGAGGGGGACTGTGCTACCCCTGCCATGCTTGTTGACGTTGCACGTTGCACTTGGGCATTGCGTAACAGAGTTGCAGGCAACGCCCTGACGATAAATCCTCCTTCTTTGGAGCTGTGCACTTGTCGATTAGCACCGATTCGCCGTCGCGCAACGGCGAAGCGTGGGGTAGTCCTCGGTTGCTTGGCTTGGTGGGTGGGGCCCATGGAATCTTGCCCGTCGTTGGCTCTGGAACACGAAAGCAACCGTCGTTTGTTGCCCAAGACATTTAGCGATCGAATTCCGCCCTTTGCCTCAGGTGAAGAGGAAAAAAGCATCTATCGAGAACATCCAGAGATCCACCATCAAAAAGGGAAAGAAGCAGGGGTGCGTGCAAAGGGTCAGAGTCCGAGTGGGGCTCCAAAAACAGCACAGATGCGTGACTGTCGCTGTCGAAACGCAGTCATCCTCGGTCATCCTCGCCCAGTGAGCCCTCGTCGCCCCTGAGGAATACGTATCACGTCGCCCCTCTCAGATGCCCTTGGGGAGTATGCTTTTACTTGTATGCACCCGATCAAGCCGTTTCCACCAGTCGTCGCACACGTCGTTGAGGACTCGGGATGTGCTTCATCGAGGGACTTCCAAGTGGGCGCCCAGCCGCGAACCGTGGCCCAAGATCGTTGCACCCGGGGAAATATACGCTGCGTGATATGTGACCTTTAGCATGGGGGACCTCGAGCGACGGCTTCGATTGGCCCTCGGCCCTCTCTCTTCCCTCTTTGCGGGCACCGCGCCGACAGGATGCATGCATACAGCATATGTTAGCGCATCGCGACCCAATCCTCTTGCTCCAGCAGAGGGCGGGCTGCTTCGTGTTTCTCTTTGAGCCATGTGGAGGCATCGCGAAAGTCGCCTGTTTCTACAAGTATGAAGTAGTTGATATCGCCACCCAAGTACTCATTGTACAAGCAAGTAGATATTAGATCGTCTAGAATGCCCCTATGCGCTTCCAACGACGGAAGCTTACTGGACAAGGTAATTATTTTTCTTCTTGTTTTCCTCCTCATGAGGGAGGGGCGCCGCGTCAAGTGTGTCGTCTGTTGATAACACCAGCCTCCCCCAACAAGTAACAAGCTAGCTTTAGACTTGGAACGAAGAAGTCGTGCTCCACCCCTCCCCATTGTCCTCCGCGAGGTGAGTGATGGAAGCCCCACGCGCCAATACCGGCCACAGACCAAAGCCGGCATCGTCGAGGGAGAATTGCAAGTACAGCGGAGTCGGCCGCCCCTCTGCAAGGTACAGTGATGCAAGAAGGGAAAAGGGGAGAAAATGGACAGTCAAAGGGTCACGTTGAGCACGAATGTGTGTGAAAGCACCAAGCATGTGGAATGCTGTCTTCGATATTGTGTGATCAACATTGAAGCATTGAAGTTCGGGAGGGCCGAAGAAAAAGAGACCATGCCAAAAACAAGGCAACCTAAAGACTGCCGGATGAATGCCGAAGCAACGCAACGAAAAATTTCTTCCTTTTCCCGCAGGGGACGAGGAACAGAGTTTCTTTCTTCTTGTGGTCCTGCGCTGCATTTTTTATGGTTCGTGTTGGGAGAGTGGGAGGAGGTTGACATCGAATATGTCATCCACAAAAAGAGCAGCAGAGTGTCGGTGTCGGACTCCAGGTGTGGGGCTCCCACCGTTATATTTAGTCAATGAAAGGTCACATAATCTTGGCACCCCCATACCTGTGCCTCAAGACAGTCAGTCAAGATAAGACAAAGCCTCGACCTGAGGTTTGTGAACTCCCACTACTAGAGTCAAGAGACGCCTGCCTGGAAGCCCTTTCAACCTCGGCCATGCCGGGCCTGCAGACCAATTCGCATGAGGCTGGCTCTCGAGCAAGAGTAACGAGGGGGTGGTTAAAGGGTGGGGATGGGAAGGCACGTCGCCGAGTCCGACCCTATCAGTGGTGAACCGATGGTGGGCAAGCGTAATATCCAACTACTCAGCATTGCCGGAGGGCTATTCGTCGCGCCACGCAGACTTTGAATGGGCCGACTTCCAAACGAAGGAGCCGGCAAATATTTGGGTTAAGCAAAGTGGGAGGTGGCGTACACGCGTTGGATAGCCTCTGGCTCTGGGCAAAGATAGCTGAACCGCGGAAGGGAGACACAGTGATATTGGAGCCGTCTTTGAAGACTCTCGGTGGCGTGGGGCCTGTGGAGCAGGCGCCAGTCGACGGTCTCACGCGTGTGGTCCTGGAGGAGGGAACGAGACCGCGATTTCACCAAATCCTTTGATGATCTGCGTTCGGTTCGCCTGTCTCTATTCCCCTCATGGTCTAGCCCATCTAGCTCGGGTAGTTGGAATGCGCGAGGTGGCCTCTGAATGGAGGTGCATTCACGGCTTTTATCAATGGATGTATTGTCCGTCCAAGTGAGCCTGTGGGCCCACGCCACCACTCTTGTTGAGGAAGTGGAAGACGTAGGCCAACTTGATTGTTTGGAGACTCGAGAAATGGCAATTTTGACCCATTTTCTTGGAAGGATTGATGCGGGCGCACCGTACCAGAGGAGGGCAGGAGCAATCAGGGCGTGCTCGCATTCAAGTCAACTTGAACATTGCAACCCCATGTCGCCCTCGCCCTGG